GTTCTAATGGGAATACAAAACATGATATCCATAGCCTGCTACTAAATTCAGATGGTTGCTTAAGAGCATTTAAGGATCTGAAGAGAAATTACACTTTTCCTTTCTTTGCTTTTTCCAAAGTAAAAATACATTTGCTTGTTTGCTTCTTACAGCAAACCCGCCCACTTTCTCTAAGAGAATGCAAACTGCATTGAATTTCTAGCTGTAATTACAACTCTGCCTCTTGCCACTCAAAATCCTGTTTACCTGGACTACGTAAGAAGCTTGGTACATAGCTAAATCCTCACAAATCATCAGAGGTGGATAAGGAAACAGTATCCATAAGACATAAGCAAATATAAAAATGATAGGTGTATGGTTTTAAAACAAAGGAAATGTGCTTGTAAGAGACAGAACTGCTTTTCTGGATGCTGTAATCATGTCAGAGAAACATTCAAAGCACCCAGACTATTACCTCTTGAAACACACAGTGCTGAAGAGCATCTTTGATTTAAATCTAACAATCAGTTCCTCTGAGTGCTGGGTCAAGGCAAGCAAAAAGCAAAAAAACCTTTTGCAGCCAGGGAAGCAGCTCTGCTGGTAAATGACAGCCACAATGCATGTGCAGGAAATGCCTTTTCATTCATGTTTTTACCACCTCACATCAGTTTTTATTTTCCAATTTGCCTGCATGTCATAATCCATAATAGATGACAGCAGCTCCATTACACGTGGCATAGGGCAGCCCACTCCGTATGGAGAGCTTTAGAGCACACATGGGTTTGCCAGACGTGTGCTGTGCCTTGTTAACACAGGGCTGAGGGAGGCTGGGGTCTTTTCATTTTATTTTCAAGGCTAAATGTGACCTGCCTACTTCCAGTGACAGAAGAAGTGGTTGATGTAACCACCTCTCATATCAAAGGGAGCGCTGTCATTGACTTCAGAGATGAGATCCTTTGGGCTCAAACAAGGGAGGCTGGAATGAAAGACAGGGAAGCTTGACAGAAGAATCTCCTCGTTACTCCTGGTACATCTTAAGTAAAACATCCCCATGGCTTTCAGCAATTCACCCTGTTTAGCAGACAAGCCCAGCAGATAGAGCATCCTCTAATTACTGATGGGGGATGCTCACTGAAGGCTGTCAGTAAGAGGAAGAAGAAAACAAATTTATGTTTCTACATAATAAGCTGACAATAGGCAGAACTGTCTGTCAAGGGATTAACTCAGACTAAATATCAATTCGGTAACATCAGCTTCCCTTCCTCCCAAGATCCAAATTCCTTCAATATTTTTAAATTTTATCTATATATATATATATATCCCACTCTTCCATGTATATATATTTATTTGGACCATTTTCCTATGTATGAGCATAGAGTACTGTGCAAATATTTCACCAGACTGATTTCTTTCAAACTTTTAAGAGCCACACAATGGATTCTTCCAGGTTTGGAAGACAGACAAGCAAGGGCTGTTTTTTTTACACATATGGAGCGATAACTTTTATAAATACATGTGTATACAGACCCTTACACAAAGAAAACTGCTCACATCTCCTGTGCAGAAGGCTGAGACAATCCAGTTTAAATTTTTCTGAGTCTTTCCTGTAACCAACAGACAAAAGACCACGCAGCAGAAGAAATATTGAAAAACAACCCACTGGGACACCAGCATCTTGGCCTGCTACCAATGATCAGTGACATTCAATTTCTTTCTTGGAGCCTGCTCCAGCTCCCACTGAAGTCAGTGGGCATTTCACTATCAACTTCAGTGGGAGCTGGCCCAGGCTTCAGTCATTTTCCTCTTGGATTGGCAAGGGATGCAAACGTTAGAGACGCAGCACATAAAGCTCCTGATGGGAGGAAATAACACATCAGCACCCCTTTGGCTGATCAAGAAATGGGCACTGAATGTAAATCCTGCCAGTTGCTGCAAGGACAGCAACCATAATGCAACCAGAAAAGCAAGGTGTGGTTTGTGCTCAGGAGAAAGAAACCCTTTCCCCTTAAAAAAATACATTTCAGGGATGACAAATGCCTAAGAGCTCCCAGCATTTAAAACCCTAGCAACGTTTCCAGTTTGCTAATACTTAAAAACGTTGCCAAGAGATAGAAATACACTGCTCTTACAAATAAAAGCACTGAAGATGAAGGTGGCAGCACTTGGCAAGCTGATTTGTGCTCGCACCCTGAGCAGGGCAGCACTGGCATGTCAGACAGAGCACACACGGATGCCATCTCCGGCTGTGTGTGCACCCAACAGACCCGTGCACACTGAGCATCATCTCACTGTCACCGGCTCTTATTTCAGCAGAGCCCACTCCTATTATCTGATGGAAACGTGCCCCTGACTGAGCTCAATCTGTGACCACCAGGGTGCCTGCTGCGATTTGCAAAGCACATGACAGAGCTCATAACGTCAGCAGCGAGGTCTGAGCCACCCCACTTTCATCTGCAGTTAACTTTTATTGTCAGGGGCTTCCCTCGGGCTCTCCCTTTTTTATCATTCCAAATTGACTTTTCTTTTTTCTTTAAATAAAAGGGCAATTGTCTGCTGCCAGCGAGTGCTAACAATCCACAATGAGCAACAGAACACCCCGGGCTGTCAGTAGCAATAGTGGGTTTATTGCAAACACTTTTATCCTGGCTGAAACAAATTTACATTAAAATTGGGAATTTGGCATATGCATGCAAAAAGGGCATATTTAATCATAGTTAAAATCTTAACCTAGACCCCTTTTCAGCATGAGTTCTAACACCAATTTATTTCTACAACTTTCCCTAGTGTTTAATCAAGAAGTCCATCATAGGATACTTTGGAGGAACTCAGCAGTTATTTAAGGAATTTGCCTCTGTAGTTTTTTTGATGCTATTCTAGTCCAGTAATGATTCCTGACTGACACCCCCCTACTCTAATGAACTCAGGGCAGGCAAAGCCAACCCTGCTCTCCCTTTGTGGAGCAGCTCTCCTCAGGGCAATCAGCCTCTGCTGATGGCAGAAGTGATGGCTTCGGGGATGCTGGAACTGCGTGGGCAGCTGCCCAACTTGCCTGGGACATGGCCAGATGTTTCTGCCTCTGAGCCATCACTGCCATTAAGGAATTTGCTTATGTGTGCAAAGCAAGCCAAATGCAACCTCATTTAAAAAGCACTGGTAAAAGTTACAGTGATAAGGGTAGAAAGTTAAAACCTCCCACCAGAACTGATGATCATGACATGCTACAAGGATGTTCTTGTTTCATAAAACAGGCCCATGATAGAGAAACACCACCATTCTTATCTCATTTTGAAGAGTATTTAGTTGAAGAAAGCAGCACGACCTCTTGGTGATTTTTTTAATACAAGATTAGTAATACCTTCCACAAACTCTTCCCAATGACATCAACAGTTACTGAATGATGCCTGTGCTAAAAGTGCATCTGTTGATTATGTCAGCCCTTAAAAGATCATCTTGAAACCCCACAGGAATGACTAAATGCAAAACATGAGTAGGTTTGTATACGAAAGGAGTCGTTGAGAGAGATGACAATGTAATTTACTCAAGTACTCCTCAAAGGTACAAATATATATACCTTCATTTATATATATATAAGTATATATATACACACACCTTGATCTTGCTCATCCAACAGAATGCATTCTTAAAAGGCTGTGAAAATTGAAGACAAAAAGCCTGAACACTGTTTTAGCAACATGTCTTTTATTGCCCAGTCCTTGGACCGCTGTTAATAATCAACAGCAGTGTGTGCAGATGAAAATGTCATTTATAGTGCTTTAAAGACAATGAGGCATCCATTTATTCCACCATATTATTAAAATAGATGATTTTTATAGGAATGTCGGATGGAACTATAGGGGGGAAAAATGTTAATTGCTGAAGCTACGCATCAAAAGAACAAAGGATGCAGAAATGCTGTTAGGCCTGTATCTTACAAATATAACAAGACACTGTCAAGCAAAGCTATCTGCTGATGTACTGGAATATGACAATAGGGAGCAGATACCCACTTGTAAGGCCTATTACAGAGGCAAAACTATCAGTTACTGCTCTATCATTCCCCAATGGCTCTGAAGCACTTACCTCAAACACACAAATGATGTTTCAACCATAATCAGAGCTACCTTAACAAGCACACAATAAATTGAAAAAAAAAATTTAAAGAGACCTGTATGAGGTTCATTTGTAGACAGGCCCTAATGGATAAATACCTAAAACTTAACCAAAATACATATTCAGTAATGGACACAGTAGTCAGACATGTTAAGATAAATGTGATTTATATAAATGTAATGACAAAAGGACACAAAGCAGTCCTTCGAAAACCTGTTCAGAGGTAAGGTCCATGCTCTAGCATTCCAGCTTACCAGCCTGGGGTGGAGGGTTAAGGAGAAAAGACTGTTGGCTAAGTAAACTGACAAATCCTCTACCAATAAACTACAAAATCTATTTACAAATGGGAAACGATGCTGCTATACCTGCATGCACATGCACATTTCTGCACTTTTATACGTGATTTAGCCACCCAGAAAAGTGCCAACTCTCTCTGAACAAGCACAAATTGTCTCCTTTTTCCTCCCTCCCCCAGCAAATCTTTGCGAGCCGGCCTTCAGCGAGGAGAGACCTAAGGACACCTTGCTTATGCTTCACAGAGGATCTAACACCATGGCAGGGATGGATGTGACAAGGCTGAGGCTGAAGAAACACAGTATCCCTGCAGAGAGAAGCCCTGAAAAAAGCCCAGCGAAACGGAGCTCCACGCTGGGCGTTTTAAACCGAAAACACCGAGGTGGCGGTGGGCTCGGGAACGGGGAAGGGGCTGGGGTTTTGTTCTCTGGCAATGCTCGTTGTGTCTGACTGACCAGGCAGCCGAAACACGGACAGACAGAACGCACAGGGGCAGGCACACAGGGAGCGGGGTGCCCTGGCAGCGGCACGGAGCTCTCCCACACCCCGCCGAACAAAGGCCTCAGACACCCCCACGGCAGCGCCCAGCCCGGGCGCTGCACGGCACCCGCACTTACATGGCCTCAGACGGCTCCCGGACCAGGCCACCTGTCTGTGCCTGCTGCAGGGACTGCGAGCCTCCCATCCTCAGCGTGCCCTGGGCTCGGGGCTAGGCGACAGCAAGGCCGGCTTCCTGCGGAATCCCCCCGGCGAGCAGCCCCGGCAGCTCCGGCTCTGTGGAGGCTGCGGTGCTGCAGTGCAGATGGGAACAGCTGCTCGCATCAGTGGCAGCACAGGCACGAACACTTCGGCAGCTTCTCCTCTCTGAAGTGTTGCCAGTTTTGGCCGTGGGTTGTTGGTCGGTTTTGGGGTTTGTTTTGGTTTTTTGGGTTTTTTTTTTTTCTGTCCAGATGAACGGTGTTTATAAAATAAAACAAAATCCCGGCCGCCGTGACGGGGTAATCATCTGCTAAACAGCTCCGGTGCAGGCGCCTGGAACGGTACTATTGGCTATGGAAGCCGGCTTAAAAAAAATAAAAAAATAAAAAAAAAAAAAAAAAAAGAAGACGAAGAAAAGCAGACCCTCCCTTTAAGCACACATTGTCAGCTACTGTGGCTCTCTAAGGACCTGCAGGCAGGACCATTACATTGTGTTGACTCAGCCGATTTGAAATGCAAATGCCCGTGTGCGCCGGGCGCCGCGCACACATCTCCCCCCAGCCCCGACCAGCCGTGCTCACCGGGACCCTGGCACGGAGCATTAACGAGCAGAACGGCTGCTTTCTGCTCCTTTCGCACACCAGCTCATCCCTCTTGCGGGAAAAAAAATGGAATCTTCCGTGAGGAACGTAGGGAGAATATCATGAGCAGCCAAGGTAAACAAGCCAAAGTGGGAGCAGCTCCATCCGACACTGGGGCGCTTTAACCATTGTGCTCCTGCCTGCATAGACCCCTTGGTGGACAGGGATCACAGACCCCCTTGCTGGACAGGGATGCTTCATATAGGTGGGGAGGATCTTTAAGAGCACGGATTTCCAAGCCCTACAAATCAGCTCGTTCTTTTGCCATCTAGGTGGTAGCAGGGCACTGGGAATTCTAAGATGCTGAAAAGGATGGGCACCATCGCTCTCCACATCCCTGTTGTTGGCAAATAACAGATGATGCACATACAAGATGTGTTTCACATCATTAAAGGAGAAAAAAAAAAAAAATCAGTTGCACTGGTGCCTGTATCGGGGATGAAACTCCAGGGATACAAATGGCTTGAAGCTATGTAACAATTCTGGATACATCACAGGGTGGAGGGGTCAAAAGGATCAGATAAATTTAACAAAAATATTAAAACGTGCTGACTTCCAAGCACCGACCACAGCACAGCTTTTATGCTCTGGTGGAGGCCTCATTAGGCTCAAGCTTTCAACAGTTTTGGAATTTTTTTTCTCTGCTTGAATAAATCCAGTTTCTTCTTGCTTGACAGGAGAATGACTACTGAATGCATGTATAACATTCTGATTCTCTGGGTGCACCCACAATAAATTGTTCTTGTTTAGCAAAGATTAAGAACTTTTCATTTCCAGAGGCTGCCTAAAATTTAATTCTGTTTTATGAACAGCATCAAGATAAATTACATTTTTCTTTTCCCTTCTTTTTTTTTAAACTATAGGGGAAAGCCTGTGAGCCAGCACTTTGTTCAGCCACAAGCTTCTGAGCAAGTTATAATTTTGGGGTTGTTTTGTTTCTGATAAAAGCCAAACCCTCATTTCTAGCATCTCATTGCTCAAGACTCATCCCAAGTCCACCAGAGAAGCAGCAGCAGTGCCTCTCTCAGGGGCTGAGCTCCAGAACTTCTGGAGCAGGGCTGGTGCCTGAGCCACAAGTGACCCCCAAACTCTGCAGCATTGCCCAGCCCTGATCTTCCCTTGCCAAAGTAAGGAACACACAGGAAGTGCATAAAATATATGAAAATGTCCTATATACTCTTTGGCAGCAGATTTGAAACAGTTAATAACTCCAGGATTCCCATCCAGTATGGGAAATCAATGGTGCTGGCCAACAGACTAAAATTCCATGTCTGGATCCAGAGTCCCTCACTCTAGTGTGTGGTAGCTCTACCTAGTTTTGAATATCATAATAGCTCCCTGCTGGATCTCATTTGTTATAGAGAAAAGGAAGACTCAGAGAAAAGAAAAATCCCTAGAAAGGCAAACAGCAAATTAAGTAAAGCCCTACCAGGTACCTGGAGGCCAAGAGGGAGAACACAGGCACTGTTTGTCCTGGCAGTGAGGAAAACAGGGACACTGTCCTGGCAGCCAGGAAAGCAGGGATACTCCTAACAAGTGCAAAGAGTAACACTTAAAATGCCTGTGTCAACTCCTTCAAGTTTCACATGTACATTTATTAAATAAACAAAACCCTAATAAAAGAAGGCAGGGATTGAATCCTATTCTGAGTCAGCATGATCCTTTCAGGAGCTGTACAGTGCAGGTTTGCTTCTTTTCCATTCTCCAACTTTTCTATGCAACAAACATTTGCACTGCACTAGAAATGCAAACCTGCAGGACAGGAGGAAGGGCTTCAGCCTTTGGAGCCCAGCTGTGGCCCTGCCCACTCTGCCCCTTCTGTCTGGGTTGCAGGGGGCTCAGGGTTATGGTGAGGGGTGTCACAGGCAAGGCACTGCCTCCTTCTCCCCTCCCTCTCACCCCAGCTCCTGGGCACAGCTCAGAGATTCACCAGAGGACAGCTCAGCACCTCTGAGCTTCTCCTGCTCATGAGGAGGATGGGATTTCTCTCTTCCCTGTGAGAAATAACATCCAAGCAGCTCAGCTGCAGCAATGAGAACTCCTGCTGGCCCATGGTCTTTCACAAACAAAGTGTGCTGTAACTGAGCCTTGGACTGGAGAGAGTTTGTTGCCTGTGGGATGCAGTAACAAACACTAAACTGATGTTTCTGGCCAACCTGTGCAAGAAGCTAAAATGCAGATTTACTTCTGATTTGGCCATAAAATCTGTTACACTACAAAGCTGCAGCCCATCCTGACTGGTAAGAAATACCTCAGATGAGAGGAGCTCCACCTCTCCTGCCTGGCCCCAGCTCACCCTTTAGGCCTGCCAAGAAGCATCAACTTAGCACTAAATTTAGTGTGGGCTTTTAAAAATACAAGAACTGTGTTGACACTCTGAGTACATTTGGTAAGAACTTCTCTGGAACCTTAAAAACACACAGATGTAGCTCAGAAAGAAAAAAATCCCACTGTAGCTTCAAAGGATTTAAAAATGCCCTAGGCACTTCAGCCTAGGGTTTAAAAGCCATGTAACAACTTATTGTGATCCCACTGCTGAAAATCCTATTTAAGTATTCAGTACCATCCTTTAAAATTAATCATTTTCTCTTTCTGCCTCTTTCACCCATTTAAGCAAGAGCCATATTTTGGCCTCTACTAAATTAATGTTTTATCAAAACTGGATGTCCACTGATTAGTTGTTTAAAACACTCTACAGATTCCTAAATATTTGGTCTGATTCCATTTCGTGTTTATATATCAATTCAAACTTCGGTCACTTGCACCCAATTTGAAATTTTTGGCTTCCATCAAAAAACAATGCTGAGCAGGACATGATAAGGTTTGAGATACTGAAATTTATGTTCTGTTTCTTTGCTCCTGGCTTCAGTGTCCATCGTGCCAGGCATTTACACAAGTTATAAACATGACCACACATACACACACACACACACACAGAGAACATCAAAGAGCCTGCTGAAAGAAAAGCCTTCCTCACACATCTATTCCCCAGGGAAGGAGGGGTGAATATTAAGCTGCACCTCCTAGCTGCAATGCATTATTGAGGTACTGTGCAGAAACAAGCACCACATAAAAGAAAATGCAAAGACAGAGCAAAACCAAACATCCCAAGCAAAAAGGGATTTCTCTGGTATATGAATGCTGCTGCCACAGCTCTAAGGAACAGTACTTCCTATAAAAAAAAACAAAAAAAAACCCAAAACAAAACACAAAAAACCCCCAAAAGATGGGGAAATGTTTTAAAAAACAGATTATTGTTTAAACATAATTATCCCCCTCAATAATTTTTATGTATATATATGTGTATACATATATTTATTTAAATTATATATATATAAAATTATTTATTTATTTAAATGATACTGCCTTTGGACCCCAAAGCCTTGAATGCAGCTTGGGAAGAAGCTTTCACCCCAAAGCCTCTCTTATTTGTAAGCTGCCTGGAATCAAAGGGCTCATGGCAAGGCTGTCCACAGTATCAGACTGCCAAGGAACAGCAACACCCCTCCAAAAGCACTGAGAGGACCAAACTGCTTGAGAAATCTGACTCTGTATGGACAGAGTGGCCAAGCAAACCGTGCCTGGGGAGGCTGGCTGTGTGAGAGAGCACATCAGCACATTAAAGCACTGCCACCTTTTGAAGTGCAGTGCTGAGAACCCGTTTAGGACACCCAAGGCTGGGGCCTGCCCTGGAAGCCCTGCAGGACCCCAGCCCTCCCTGGGCTCTGCTGCTGTGACCCTGCCTGCCAAGCCCTTCCAGCCGGGCAGGGCCCCAGGAGCGGAGCTGCTCCTTGTGCTCCAGGAAGGCTGAGCAGCCTCTCTGCAGCCATGGGGGCACTCAGGGTTGGGCTTCAATTTCCCAAGGGTTATACAGCAGCCACCTGACAGGCTTTTAAAGAATTCAAGCATTCTTCATTACAGGCTACACAAAAATGTGTAAATCTGGACATGTTGTGCATATTTCTGTGCTTCTTTGCTCACCGTGCATTTTGTCAGCCCTGGGACACCTTTATTTCCTTTAGCTTTGTTTTTATTCTGCAAATCAGACTCTTATTCCTGTAGCCAGACTTTTGCTCCTTAGTCTCATCTCCCTCTCTCAGAGAGCAAGAGAGGATGTATCTTATAATTTCCACTTCCCTAGAGGACAGTAATTTAAATTTCCTTCTCAAGGAGATGAAGTTGCTGCTGGAACACCACAAGGCATTTACTCCCCTGCCTTTGGTTCCTCCCATTTTCCTGTTGACTTCAATCTCATGTCATGCCCTGAGATGTGCCACAAGGAATCTGTGTGAGATCACATTCATAATGTACTTTTTTTATTCCAGCCAGGTGCCTCCATGCTCCAGCTCACCACCTGCACTGCTGTGGGACAGGGACAACATTTAACACTGCTGCTGTCATTACCTCCTCCAGAAAGTCACAGCTAAGCACAGAAACCTAACCAAACCCATTTGCAATCTTTGTCTCCAGAGGTGTGATTCAATTTTTTTTTTTTTTTTTTTTCTTCTTCAGGGAATAGAAGAAAATTAACTCTATTCCAGCCAAAACCAGGATAGCATAGTACTATATGTGAGCAGA